TTTTTTTTTTTTTTATTTAATTCACGTCAAACTCAACTCGTTTGCCTATCAAATGCCAATTATCTCCATTTTTTTTTCTGCAATTTCCCATTGCCAATTGTATTCCAGTTTCCTGAATACTACCGAAAATTAAAATCGACGTGATTTCCCTCTGTGAAGACTTCAGTCGTTGCACGTACAATATTTTCCTTTATACCTCGGTTGCAATTATTTATCGCTAATCTCAACTGAAAAATAAAGTTGCACTCTCTTAAATATTAATTATTCCCAGGATTTCAAATTTCGAATTATCTCCTAACTTTCCAAATACTATTAAAAACTGCAAAATCCTCTCTAAAAAATTTTTCCTCATTAAAACTTCAGTCGTCGTTCGTAGAATAGTTTTCACGTTTCTCGATTGTTTTCAGAAATTCAACGTGACAAAGAGAGAAAGAGAGAGAGATAGAGAGTGTGTGTGTATGTGCACGCGCGTGTGAGTGAGAGAGAAGAGGTAGATCATAGTATTGTATTCGACGCTTTGAGTACCAGCGATTTGACTTAATCAGGTGCAAGGAAATGGACGACGTGAGATCAGGAGCGGTGGAGAGGGTGAGGATTTTGGGAGCCGAGGCTGCCGAGAGAGAAGCGAGGGCGAACGGGGTCGAGAGGGAATTGCGACTCGAACGCGAATGGAGAACCTCCTTGCAGGAAGCATCGGTCTCTAACACGGAGAAGATCTCTCAATTACATCAGGAGATCGATCAGCTGAGGCGGGTGTCCGAGGTACGTTGTATACCGGCCTAAACTTCGCCAGCTTGCAAAGTTCGATGACTAAATTTTTGCCTGGAAAGAATCATTCTTCACGCGTATTAGTCGTTACCACCATGGTAGTAGCGTCGTTCGGAATTTTCCTTTCCTTTCCTTTCCTTTGTTTTATTACGACGTTGTATAGAGAGACAGTACAATACATCTGTATCGATTAGAAGTAAATTTTCAATGTTTCGTTGCGTTTGGTATATCGCGAGGCAGTTGTACTATTATTATTTTTACAACGTGGAACACATCAATGTCCGACACAAGATACAAGAAAAGAAGATACAATCAGTTTCTTTGATTTATCGCTTCGTAATTTCTCACTGAATTTGGTCGTCAAATATCCCCGTATTCCGCCCGAAGCAAGGCACACCCGAATCGAACACCCTATAGTTTCAATCAGTCATTGGTTTCTTCCCACAATACCTTCCGTACCTCGCAGGCCCCAAAACACTTCGCCTTTCCCGATCGATTTTTCAAGCAACCACTTCTCCCCCTCCCGTTCTCTTCATCAATCTTCCAGAACTTCGACTCACGGCGGAATCGAATCTCCTCGCTAATAGTCGACGCAGCGCGCGACTTCGCAATCGGCCTCTCCTAACAACCGATAACCCGTTTGGGGACAGGGGAAACGGATGGGGAGCCGTCTGCGACAAAGTTTGCTGGGCTCTAGTGTAATTCCCTTGGCCATGTGTTGCAGAAATACCTGGCGCTGCAGG